TATGTATATGTATATATATATGTATATTTGTATATATGTATATATATATATGTATATTTGTATATATGTATATATATATATATGTATGTATGTATATATATGTGTATGTATATATATGTATTTATATATATATATAGCATATATATATATAATGAGAACTTTTTATATCTACATCCTACTGACCGTAAATTAGTTCATTAATCAAGTAATGTTTAATTTCGGAGGGGGTTTCATCCCCCAGATCTACGCCACTGTCCCCTACCATTGTGCTTCCACCCCCCTAACAACCCGGGATATTTTTGGCCAGATAGTGTATACTGAAGAGGAACGATTGCAATAAATAAAAAAATGATTGATTTCAGGCACAGCATCTGTAGCTAGAGGCTATAGTGGCTATATTGATACTATATTCAATGGGACTATAGCTAGGCATTTGAATGAAACAATGCCCATGCACCTCAGTGGTCTATCCTCATTTCCAGACTTCTTAGCTTTTGGAATTACTCTTCTACTCACTGGTAATTCTTTTTTCTTTCTTTTTCTAACACAGTGATTCTCAATCTTTTTTTTTTTTGTCTTGGGGTCACTTTTAACAATCTTGAAATTTGACAGCACACAAAGAAAGGGAAAAAAGAGTTTAACGTTGTTTACTTAACTATTATAATACACTGTATAAAATTGTTTATAATAATAATTTTGAATGTAAAACAAAATAATATGTACTACAAAGAAACGTTTATTAAGGGATTAATTACAAGTTAATAATACTTTGAATGAGAAATTTGAGCTTGATGTTTTTTGATAATTTCATTTATATTGGGTCGTAAAAGGTTTTGTCTTTTTTTGCTAGTTATTAATTGTTAAAATATTTTTTTATTGTTGTAATTGTGTCAATATATTCAGGCACCAGGGTATACGTAATTATTATTTATTGAGACGTATTCATGAAAAGTTGTTCACTTGCCTATAATACACTGTGTAAAATTTGAATGTGAAATAAAATAATATGCTCTACAATAACACGTTTATTAAGGCTTATCTAAACTCGTTAATGGGATTTTGCATAAGTTATAAAATTTTGTCATATTATAAGTTCTTGATTCGCAGAAGTCCGCGAATCAATGATCCTGAAATCAGTGATCTGTATTTCTGCGATATTCACAGAAAAATCAGATGCCCCACTTCTAGTTTTTAGATCCGTAAGAATGATAGGAAAAAAGACTAGGGACTGGACATATGATTTTTTTCAGCAAATTAAAACTTATAATCCTTCAAAATTCTAACCGCAATCTAACTAAATTAAGTTCTACAGTTTAAAATTCAAATTTTGAAACCTTAATTACGTTAACAAGACATTTTCATAAACATGAATATTTTGATTTTTTTTGGGGGGGGGAGGGTGGTGTATGTTCATCGATTTTAATATTTGGAATCTGCTTATATCGTGATTCATATTCTCAGGATTTTAATATCAAACATTGATTTTTGTATTCACCGATTTTAAAAGTTACTCATTGTGAACTGCATTCACGGGATTTAAAAATCGCGCATTGCGATTTATATTTTCCCATTTTTAAATCCAATGTCGCAATTCATATTCACGCGATTTTAAAACTCAATATTGCTTTTTATATTTCATATTCACTCGATTTTAAAATCTAATATAGCAATTCATATTCACACAATTTTAAAATCAAATATCGCTAGTCTTGCAAGAACAATGTTTATTCTTTAATTAGTTATTATAAAAGTGACATTCTTTATTGGTAGGTAATTTAATTATAAATCTTATTTCCAAAAATTATATTAAATATAGAATAATATATAAATTGATATAGAGTCTTTGCACCTAAGTTTCAGTGTTTATCACTTTGTGCCACACATCACCTATAGTTGCGGGCAAATTTTGTCTACTCGCTTAAAAAGTTTCCCAAATACAGCGAAGCAAAAAGCAAAATTAAATTTAAATACATGAGTTCCAAACTTTGGTCTCTTATTGCCAATTAGATTCATCTGGTTTGATGGATTTGAATATTTGGAACAGCGCCGGAATCTGCTAATATCGTGATTCTTATTCACGACGTTTCAATATCAAACATCTATTTTCTTATATACCTGATTTAAGAGTTGTACGTTGCAATTCAAATGCAAAAAATCGTACGTCGCGATTCCTATCCACACGATTTAAAAATCCAATATTGCAGTTCCAATATTCACTCGATTTTAAAGTCCAATATCAAGATTCTTGTAAGAAGTAAGTTTTTTATGTATTAGTAATTATAACGGTGTGATATTCTTAATTAGTAGATAATTTAATTAGAAATATTAGTTCAAAAAACTATGCTAAAAATAGAATAGTATATAAATTGATGTTGTGTTATAAAATTTTTGCTCATAAAATTTTCAGGGTTTTTCACAATCAACCTTGCTATATGTGATGTCTATATTTTGTTAATTATTATTAATTATTTGTAAATTATTGGTGATTAGCTTGTGTTTTTGTTAGTTATCCTTTCTTAATTTGTTTTTATAATTTTCATATGCATAGCTTATTTTAATTGTTAGCTTTTATTTCATTTTGTGCGTGTATATATATATATATATATATATATATTTTTTTTTTTTTTTTTTTTTTTTTTTTTTTTTTTTTTTTTTTTTTTTTTTTTTTTTTTTTTTTTTTTTTTTTTTTT